TTTTTAATAATTTTTTTTATGTGATGTTCCCATGAATTTAGCCTTCACTTTAACACGCTACAACAATAATTTTTTACGCTGAAAAATTGCACTTTCAACTGTAATTTAATACATTTCATGTACAATTTGTATAACACAGTGCAATCTAAATTGTGCTCAAAACAATAGCCAGATTGAAAATGATTTTAAATCTCTTGAAAATAACAAAAAAGTTATGTGTATTAAAAAAAGAAAGTTTTAATTGAATTCCAACAAAATAACATATGAAATCATAAAAGTTCTTTTGTTTAAAATTAATATAAAATTTTCACGAACATTTCTCTAACGTATATTTTAAATAAAAATGCTGGTTTTGAAACGAAATCTAACCATTATAGCAGTATTAGATAGTTTATATAGTAAATAAGACCATGTACTGTTAAGTAAATTGTAAGTAATCTGTGTTCAGATTTGTTTAGCCTTGAGAATCCGTCAATATTTTCACACTCGCGTAATTATGTTAGTAAACGCGAACAACAAAGTGTTGGTAGGTTTCTAAGTCTAAACAAAACTGAACACACAAAAATAATAGGTTTTTTAACTGCACACGTTATTATTTATTAATTACTTCAGGTCCCATCTACCTGCAGATTCTATCAAAAAAGGGGTGACACACGATACTATCAGGTAGCTAACGATATGAAGGCATTCGGTACTACCAATTGGTAACAGCAAGTCACTGTTCTATTTGCGATTTCTATTTGGGTTTCATTCAAAGAACAGAAATGCGAAGAGTATAACACAACCAGCAATATTTTTATTATTTGCCCAGTAATTAGCTGATATCTAAAGGCGTTCATTGCGAATTATTTCGAACCATCATATTTTTAATATCTTGCACAAAGATTTTTTTAAACAAAATTTAACAGTTTTCTTGTAATTGAGGCCATTTCGCTCCATTTTTGTGAATCACAGAGAAAAACGATTTGAACATAACACAAAAAATTTTGATTTTCGTTTTAAAATGCTATTTTCAACAATCCATAAGTCCATATTTTCTGGCCCAATAAAGATTGAATTTTTGTATTTTTCGAGTGAACATATCCCAAAAACAGACAAATTTCCACCTGTGAAATATAAAAAAAACTGATTTTAATATAGTTTTTAAGTTTTAGATATAAAAATTTACAATTCCCATTTGGTTGAATTGTGTGTTTTTATAAATTAGGAGAAATAATTTATGCTGCATGAACGGGAATAATTTTAATATAGTGTTTAGTCTAGTCAGTTGTGCGTATGTTGAGCATATGCTGAGCGTTAATATACTTAAGAAATAGTTTGGTTGAAAAACAACGAGTGATTATACATTATGTTCAGAAAGACGCCTTACAATATGTTCAATACTATAGTGTAAATGGAGTGTTGCCACCAATTCGAATGTTATAACAATTTTATGTTGATTTGAGTTCAAGTGGGAAACGCTGTATATATTATTGAAAGTAATGGTGAAACAGTCTACATATCGTAAAATAGTTCAATTTATAAAAGTTTGAGAAATTTATAAACACGTATAAATTGAAAATTTACACAAACACATTAATTTACAATTCTTATTATTAATTATTTGAAATAATATTTAGTACATATAGTATGTATGCATTATTTCTACAATAAAATGTACAAACCAATATTCAAATTTCACTTTTAATTGTACGAATAGATAAACAATTTTTGTCTAACTTGTAACCATATATCCGTAGGGCAACAATTAATTTTCATGTTGGAGATAGAATAGAATACGACTGACATAAATATCCATTGATCATTTCCTGCACTTAACTAATGACATAAACTTGAATTTAAATTAAAATCTCACTTCCATGTACATATGCAATTAACTCAATAATATTCAGAACTTTTGCAAAAATTTCTACAAAAAAAAAAAACAAAAAAAAATCAAATAGAAAATGTGCTAGTTACGTGTGAAAATCAAATTAAAAGTTGAATAGCAAGGACTTTCCTGTAGTAATTTGTCATTGTCAACATGTTAAAAATGCATGACAATAGGATACTTGGCATAGGTAGCAAATAGGAAAATCTAAAACACCGAAATGAACTATGAGAAGCAAGAATAGCAATTACACTAACAATAATACTCCTCACAAGCACTCACAAGCAATAATAATAGTAACAGCAAAAAAAAAGAAGAAGATGAGTAACATTTATGCTGCATGATAGTTGAATACAGTTTGTGGATTGAGTGCATTGCACGACCATGAAATAGTTTTGTAAGACACTCAAACGATTATAAATTTAGTACAACGAATTCGCTCATAAAAAAGTTTATTTGGCATTTGAACAAACATTCAATCATGCATGTGCATAAAGAATTGTTATTTGCTTGAATGTATTTGTATTTTTTAACACAGTTGTATCAGTGCCAAAGCCAGTGCGAATGCCAAATAGCATTTGAGTCACGTAGCAGCCATAAGTAACCACAGCAAAAAACAAGCGCCACATAACTACCAATTGAAATTCTCAATTTTCTACTTTAACGAAAATATCTTGTGTGTGTGTTTGTGTGTTACTATGTGTTTGAGTATAAAAGAGTGCAAATATTTCAGTGCGATCAATTCACATTGTTGTTGTCGGCAATTTGCATTTCCTACATTTGCTGTGACAATTTCCGGCGGCCTAAATTGTTTGGTTGCGTTGCAGTTGCTCCTGTGGTTGTTGATGTTGTTGTGCTATCTTATACTCTTTTCTTATACAAATAAGTGAAATATTTCCAGCCGCTTCATATTTTTTATTGCATGCAAGAACGGACGTTGGCTTTTATGAAATTTGCAGTTGCTTGCGTTTAATTCAGTTTAATTGCATTTCATAATTGCGAAATTTTACTTTTTATTTTGTTGTTATTAGTATGGCCGCCTTTGTTGTTAAACTGCAACACATTTTTAAGTTTGTTTATTGCTTAAGTTTTCTTTTTTTTGTTATTTGAAATATTTTCCTGCTCTCAATTGCTATTTCGCATTATTTTGTAAATAATTTTTTTAAATTTGAATTAAAACGTGCAAAATGCTCATTTTATATAATTACATACTTTAATTTTTTTTCTTTTTATTAACATATATTGCAAATTTAGCTATCATGAAAACTAATCTACAACATTTATCTATAAGTAAAAACCGTTTTTTATTACAGTTTTAAAAAAATAAATTTTATATAGAAAATTTATAAGAACTTTTGATGAAATTCCATTTGAAAGCACGAAACAATTTCATGCTTTTAAAATAAATCCATAACTTGTAAGAACATGTTTTAAAAGGCATTCATAGAGTCTTGTCGCATTACTTGGTGCCAATTAGTATTCTTCAACTATTAAACTCTAAACAGAATTTATTGTGTGATTTTATTTATGAAGATAATTGAACTGATACAATCATGTCAAGTGCTTTAATTAAACATCTATAGTAATTTTAAAGACGGAAATCAAAGCTGAGTTC